GCTCTATGTTCTTCTCCTTTTTCCTCCTGTGATGTCATCACTGTAGTCGCCGAGGTTTTCACTCCTCCATAGTCAGGAGGTGACATCCCAGAAGTCTCCCTGTATCTGGAGTCTTGATGTGGATGACTCTCTGTGACCGCTCCTAGCAGATAAGTGTCCTCTCGGCTCCATCAGCAGTGACAACCCTCTTCATCTATTTATGTCAGGACTCCGCCGCACGTGGTGACAACGCTGCTTGAGATTGAGAAGGGTTGTCTCTCTTATAATGTAAGCTTGGGAAATAAGAAGTCTGATGTTATGAGAACGTAACTGGTAATACAATGGAGCTTGGGTCAGGGGGACATCCGTTGTGTGTGACTCAAGGAGCTTTACATTGGTGTGTAGGGGGAATGATTTACAAAACAGCGCGGTAAGGTGACTCTGTAACCCCTCAGTTTATATGCGGAGCGCTGTAAACCTGAGGCCTGTTATTATGCAAATATCACCTTCCACTGGGATATTATGGTTTTGCCTCGCCTCCTGGTGTTCCGTTGTTATAGTTTACAGATGGGGGGCAGCTCTGCCGTGTGTCCTATACAATTGATTTTGGGGTTCTCCTATTACAGTGCTAATGAACGCTCCAAGTAAAACCTATATTGCAGCATTCAGTATTTGCCATGTGCCTTGCCGTTGAAGCTTGTCACACCTTTTTGTATTCAACCTTTTGAAAATGTACTCTCCTGTGCTGCTGTGTTTCGGGTGGCTGCACTGTCTTGCGCGGTCCTATGGAGCGCCACTGTAGTTACTAGAGATGCCGGTATTGGTATCGGTGTCGATGCCGTGTATTTGGGAGAGTGCTCATACTCGCCCAAATGCTCTGATGCCTTGCCCGATACTTGAGCTTCCGGTACCAGAAAGCCGGGCAGCGAGTCATTACACACTGCCCGCCTTTCTGATTGGCCGGGAAGCCAGCTCTATGTTCCCTCATCACTTGTGACGAGGGAGCATGGAGCCGGGCAGCGTGTCATTACACTCCTCCCGGCTTTCTGATTGGCCAGAAAGAGGCTACATTCTCCCTCGTCACCTGGTGACGAGGGAGCATGGAGCTGGCTTTCTGGCCAATCAGGAAGCCGGGCGCCTTGTAATGACACGCTGCCCGGCTTCCTGATTGGCCAGAAAGCCAGCTACATGCTTTCTCATCACCTGGTGACGAAGGAGCATGGTGATGGCTTCCCTGCTGACCGGGAAGCCAGGTGATGAGTCATTAACGCCGCCTGGCGTCCTTAATAAGACTTCCAGTATCGGTATTCGGTATGCGCGAGTACCGAAAAAAAATATCGGTACTCGATACCGAAAAACCAGTATCAGTGCATCCCGAGGAGTTACCATTATGAGCGTACCCCTGATTTCAGACTCAGAATCTCGGGCAGCTCTGATGCCCAGGACTGCAAGCCACTCCCCTACCCCCCC